TTCAGGTCACCAGAAAGCAGCAGAGCCAAGTCTGAATGGGGCTATTCCCCAATTTCTTGGTAATCAGTCAATGGCAATAAGAGTGCTGGGCTCTCTCTTTTAGAAAGTCTAAAATTAGGAAAAAAAATAATTGATATCTTTTGTTTTTTACATCACCATCATTTCCAAATATAGCTGCCCCTTTCCTCTTTGTACCCATCCAACCCTAACCACCTTTTGTAACGAAGAATAAAAAAAGGCAAATTTTTTTCTTTAATTTCAGCAAAGTCAATATATTAGCTGAGTCTGATAACATATGCAATGTTTCATACTCATGGTCTCCCACTTAAAAAAAAAGGAGAAGTGTTTGTTCTTCTCTTCTACAGAGTCAAGTTTGATCTACAGTGGAGTTTTATCTATGGTTGTGGCTGTTGTGCTCCTTATCTTTCTTCATTATGGATGCTTCATTACTATGGATGTTCTATTAGGAAGGTCACCCTTGAGGATTTTAAACTAGACAGGATTTCTAAGATTCTTTTGAGCTCTAACATTCTATAATTCTCTTGTTCCAGGCCCTAAGCTCACCCTGTGCTTTTCATCTGTGTCCCTTCTGCATTTACATTTCACCCCAACCTTTTGTCAGTCCTGAGATCCCAGGAGATAAAATGGCCAGGTCACATTCTGCATCTCTAAAAGATTTCAGCTCACCTATATAATTATTTGAAGATCCTATACAGGTCTTACCTAGCTGAGTTGAGATACACTCAGTCAAAGTGTGGGGGGGGGGGGGGGGGGAAATAGATGAATTTCTGGTTTGGCCTCTTTATTGAATATCCCAAATTATCATGTGATGTTCCATGTGGCTTTACCCTATCCTCCCTCCCTTCCAAAGGTTAATGGAAATTCCCATCAAGGAGAAGACTTCTAGTGGCAGGTTCTTCCTCCCCCCCACCCCAACTCCAAGAACTTATATTGAGAGCACTCTTTGTTCTGGGATCCTTTTCTTCTCTCACTACACTGTTTTGGTTGGTGATGAAGCAGCTCTGATGCGTTTAAAAATCATCCATATGCAGATGGCTCTCAGATATATCTATCTATCTATCTATCTATCTATCTATCTATCATCTGTCTATCTAACTATATATGAATAGAGTTAGCTCTAGTCTATCTCCTGATTTCCAGCACTTTATTACCACCTGCTGGGCAGCTAAGTGGAATAGCAGATAGAATACTAGGCCTGAAGTCCAGAAGATTCCTCTTCCTGAGTTCAAATCCAGCCTCACATACATGTTTCACTTTTCAATCATTGTAAAGACATAGAGTTTTTGATCTGTGGGAATGGAAAATAGGAGAGTCTCAACCTTCTTAATAAGGTAACAGACAGTGTTATCTGCTGAGAGAAAGCAGGGTTAGGTTGGTATTGGGGGCTTGGGGAAAATGGAAAAGTCATTGTGGGGAGTGTAATAGGTTGCTGGGCTGAGATGGAAAGGATTAATGTACAACAGGGGCACAGTAAAGATCAGATAGCATGAATGTATAGCAGACACAGTCAATGTAGTTTATTGCTATATTCTGGTAGCATTTTTTTGCTCTAGAATAGAAGCCAGGAAAAAGATTTGGACAGAGAACTAGAAGGACAAGAGGGTATGATCAGAGGGGAAATTTCAGAGTTTAGGAATTTAGACATAGTGCAGTTCAAGGTGATGGTCATGTTTAAAGGTCTATGTCTGTGTGTCTGTCTCTGTATCTGTCTCTGTCTTTCTACCTCTGTTTCTGTCTCTGTGGCCACACAGATACACACACACACACAGACACACATACACACACGTCCTTGCAATGAGTGGGTGACGTAGAGAAAAACTATTAGCCCTTACTTAGCTTTAAGCTTTGGTCATTGTTAAATGAAAATCCCTCTAAGAGAGTAAAAACCTGAAGCTGTTCTAAATGAAATGAATGAATGAAGTTCAAAGTGAATGAATGTTCATCATAGTATCATAAATCTAGTGCTGAAAGAGATTTTAGAGAAGACTGAATCCCATGCCCTAGTTTTACTGATGAGGAAATTGAGGCTCAGAAAGGTTAAATCATTTATCCAAGGATGTGCAGATAATAAAGTAGCAGAACCAGAATTTTGATTGTAGTTTTTTGTAAAGGAAAAGAAGGTCCCTGAACTGGTGACCACCAAAAGACAAAAGGTGGTGAACTGAAAATTGGGGATGCTAAAGACAAATCCTGCCTATTTCACAAAATCAGGCAGGGCTGGCTTTCCTCCCAAAGTATTGTAAAGGTACTATTATTTTTAATTTTTTTTTTAATTTTTAACATATGTTTTTAAAACTTTGGGTTACAGATTTTCTCCCTTCCTCCCTCCCTACCCACACTCATTGAAAAGGCAAGCATCTCCATACAGGTTATAGAGGTGTAGTCATGCAAAACACTTCCATAGTAGTCATGTTGTGAAAAACTAAGTATATTTCCCTTCATCCTATCCTACCCCCCATTTATTCTATTCTCTTTTGACCCTGTCCCTCCTCAGAAGTGTTTGCTTTTGATTATCCCCTCCCCCAATCTGCCCTCCCCTCTATCGACCCCCTGCTCTCTTGTCCCCTTCCCCCCTTTTTCCTGTAGGGTAAGATAGATTTCCATACCCCATTGTGTATGTTATTCCCTCTTTAAGCTAAATCCTATGAGAATAAGATTCACTCATTCCCTCTCACCTTCCCATTTCCCCTCCACTGTAAAAGCCTTTTCTTGTCTGTTTCATGTGAGATATTTTATCTGATTCTACTTCTCCCTTTCTCCTTTTCCCAGTATAATCCTCTCTCACCCCTTAATTTTATTTTCTAGATACCACCCCTTCATCGTCAACTCACCCTGTGTCCTCTATCTATCTATCTATACACACATATAATTTTTCCATCCCACTACCCTAACACTGACAAAGGACTCATGAGTTACTAATATCATTTTTCCCTGCAGAAATGTAAACAGTTCAACCTTAATAAGTCTCTTATGATTTCTCTTTCCTGTTTACCTCTTCCATGTTTCACTTGAGTCTTGTATTTGAAGGTCAGGTTTTCTATTCAGCTCCAGTCTTTTCTACAGGAATGTTTGAAAGTCTCCTATTTCGTTGAATGACCATTTTTTACCCTGAAGGATTATACTCAGTTTTGCTGGGTAGGTGATTCCAGGTTGTAGTCCTAACTCCTTTGCCCTCTGGAACATCATACTCCATGCCCTCCAGACCCTTAATGTAGAAGCTGCTAAATCTTGTGTTATCCTGATTGTGTTTCCACAGTACTTGAATTGTTTCCTTCTGGCTGCTTGTAATATCTTCTCATTGACCTGGGAATTCTGGAATTTGGCTACAACATTCCTAAAAGTTTTCCTTTGGGAATCTCTTTCAGGAGATGATTGGGGGATTCTTTCAATTTCTATTTTGCCCTCTGGTTCTAAAATATCAGGGCAGTTTTCCTTGGTAATTTCTTGAAAGATGACGTCGAGGCTCTTTTTTTGATCGTGGCTTTCAGATAGTCCAATAATTTTTAAGTTCTCTCTCCTGGATCTATTTTCCAGGTCAGTTGTTTTTCCAATGAGATATTTCACATTCTCTTCTACTTTTTCATTCCTTTGGATTAGTGTTACAGTGCCTTGATTTCTCAAATTGTCACTAGCTTCCAATTTCTCCATTCTAATATTTAAGGAAGTATTTTCTTCAGTAATCTTTTGGACTTCCTTTTCCATTTGGCCAATTTTGCTTTTTAGGGCATTCTTCTCCTCATTGGTTTTTTGGACCTCTTTTGCCATTTGGGTTAGGCTATTTTTTAAGTTGTTATTTTCTTCAGTATTTTTTTGGGTCTCCTTTATCATCACTCTCAATTTTTCCTCTACTTCTCTTACTTGTTTCTCAAAATCCTTTTTGAGCTCTTCCATGGCCTGGGACCAATTCACATTTTTCTTGGAGGCTTTGGATGTAGGAGCTTTGGCTTCGTTGTCTTCTTCTGGTTGTATGTTTTGATCTTCTTTGTCACCAAAGTAAGATAATATAGTCTGACTCTTTTTGCACTGCTTGAACATGATCTCAGCCAATTACTTGAGTTATAAACTCTTTGTTAAAGTAGGAGTCTGTGCCCAGTGTGGAGAATGTACTGTCCCAAGCTTCAGGGGTTTTGTGCAGCTGTTTTCAGAGATACTTCTAGGGACCTGTAAATTTTCAGTTCTTCCAAGGTGCTATGATCAAGGGCGAGGTGTTTACTCCTTTCCTGGCCTGTGCTCTGGTCTGTGAGCACTCTTTTCTGTCTTGGAACTGTGAGGAGGGTTTTATCTCCACAGCCACTACAAGCTCCACCATGCAAGCGCTCCTTTTCGCCCCAGCACCATCACCCAGAACTGTGACCCAGATCTAAGCACGGGCAAAGCAAGAGAATCCTGCACCAGCAGAGAGATCCCTGCAATCCCCCTCTGATCAGTCACTCAATTCCCCCTCAGACTGTGGGCCAGAAGCTCAGGAGGCAGCCACCACCCCAGGCCGCACTCTGGTAATGGGGCTGGAACCCCACTGTCCTTCTCTCTCTCCCCACAGACACAGACTTTTCCCACTGACCTTCTAAGTTGTCTTTGGCATTTGTGGGTTGAGAAGTCTGGAAACCACCACAGCTGCCAGCAATTCAGTCCTCTGAGGCCTGCTCCAGGTTTGCTGCGGCCTGCCCACCCATGCCGAACTGTGTTCCTCTCTCCACCTGGTGCGATATACCTTTCTGATCAACCATCCAGGCTGTCTTTGGCTGGATATTTGTTTCACTCTGTCTTTTTGTGGGTTTTGCTGCTTTAGAATTTGTTTAGAGCTATTTTTTATAGGTATTTGGAGGGGTTTGAGGGAGAGCTCAAGCAAGTCACTGCTTTTACTCTGCCATCCTGGCTCCCCCTCCCCGCCCCGGTAAAGATACTATTTAAACCACAGAATGCAGATGCTTTAAAATCTGTACTGGAACTTTTCTCTGATGATTACTTTATTTCCCCAGTTCTGTTGATGTGTGTTTGCCCAAGTTTTCCATCTCTGGTACCTATGACATGAAAAAGTGTCTCTCTGGGCTTGGTGTCACCCGAATCTTTGATGGAAGTGCTGACCTTACCAAAATCAGTCCCCAGAAGACTTTGAAAGTTAGCCAGGTAAGATAATTAAAGCTTAACTTTGAACTGAAGTTATTTCTTTATAGCACCCTCCAAAATGGCAGCCATTTTTCAAACATCACACCTCACTTTGTTGGGGTTTTTGTGTCAGGTGGTTGGAGAGCAAGTTCATTTATCAGGAGCCCCCATCTCTAGTAGCCAAGGTACAACATAAACCATTACAATGCAGTTGCAGTCATCACTATTTTTGTCCCCACAGAGACTGACATGTTACTTTGCACAGTAGGGACTCTATAAATGTTGTTTTAAGGAATGAATGAATGAATGATAAATTGAATTTGACATGACAAGTATATTTTAATTGCTTAACATATTTTGAAAGCAATATATAATCGCTTTCAAAGTCTTAGCTACACAACTCTCCTCATATGTTATAGGCTTTGGGAAAATGTGGAATGTCCATTACAGAGAAGAGACCATATCTTGGCTATTACCTCAAGGAGCTTAGGGGAGTATGGTCTAGTGGAAATAGCACCAAGATGAGGCAGAAAATCCCAAAGTTGTCAAGTCAAGAAACATCCAGGCCCAGTACTCTATCTACTGTGCCACTTAGCTTCCCCTGGTCTCAAAAAGATATATTTTTAAAATTCCTTCTTCCCTTCCAGAGATTAGCCTAACACCTATGAGTGTAATTAGTCATCAAATAGGCATTTATTAACCACCTACTATATACCAAGCATTGTGCTAGGTACCAAGAATACAAATATAATAGATTAAGCAATCATTACACACAAGTAGCTTAAATTCTAGCAGCGGACACAATAAAGATATAGATAGATAGATAGATAGATAGATAGATAGAGATATATATAGATATACATATGTAGATATAGATATAGATATACACACACATATATACACATGCATACATACATATATACACATACAACATACATACATACATTTATTTATACATATACACATGTATGTATATATGCATATATTTGTATGTATATATACACATAATACATATAAAGAAAATAAATATAAATAAACACTAATTAATTAAATATAAACTAGTTTGAGAGGGAGTGCATTAGCAGTTGAGACTTGGGACTCAGGAGACTTAGGAGAAAGTAGTGAAAGAAGAGAGGGATTCTATGATCTGGGATAAGGAAAGAGTGCATTCTAGGCATGGGGAAGAATCAGTGCAAATCTATGGAGACAAAAGATGGAATGCTGTGTGTGGAGAACAAAAGAGAAGGCCAGCTTGGCTGGATCACACAGTGTAGGAGGAGGCATGGTGTGTGATGACACTCAAAAGGTAGACTGAAAAGTCTTAAAAGCTAAAATAAGGGGTTTTGTATTTTTACCTATAGGCACTAGGAAGTCACTGGAGCTGACTAAGTAGGGAAGCAACATAGTTAGATACTCACCTAAGAAATTACTTTGGCAGTGGTGTGGATGATGGACTGAAGTGGGAGAGACTTGAGGAAGGGACCAATTAGAAGATCATTACAATAATCTAGGTAAGACTGAACTAGAGAGTAGAGAGAAGGGGATAGTTGTGAGATATATTGTGGACCAGTCTGTGATGTAGTATTAAAACTCAGGAGAGAGATTAGGGCTAGAGATAAAGATCTGGGAGTCATCAACATATAGGTGACAATCAAACTTCTGGGAGCCAATGAGGTCACTGAGAAAGAGTATCTAGAGAGAAAGATAGAGATAGAATAGTGTTGGAGATGATGTCAGCTCATTAGAAGGAAGAAACTCTTTAAAAATACAACCATATAACAATATAGCAGGACCTCAAAGGTCATGAATTCTCTATTACTGAAAGCATTCATATATAGACTGTACAAATAGAAAATTCAAGGTTCAGGTAGCAGGTTCTAAGTTCTCTTCAAGAATCACAGAATTCTGGAGTTGGAAGTGACCTCAAAGATCATCTAATCCTCTGTCTCTCTCTGTCTCTCTCTCTCTCTCTCACACACACACACACACACACATACACACATCTGAACAGAAATCCCATCTAGAATATCCCTAACAAAGATAATGAATACAAAGCACAAGAAGAGTTGTAAGGGTACCAATTTATGGTACCAGATAGTGGAATTCCATCATTCTAAATTGAGGGGATAAGACACATTGGTACTGATGAGATCAATGGCATGAGACCAACAGCTGTAGGGGGTTGGGTTGGAGTGAAGAAGGTTATGGGAGTTGAAGAGGCTGATGAGGTGGAAAGCAGGGGTGTTTAAGGGGGACATCTACATATATATATTGAATTCCTCAAGTATAGGACATGGATAAGGAGTAGAGATAAAACAAGGAAGCAGTATTGAGAAAGAAGTGGGGATAACTGTCACCAGGATACGAAAAAGGCCACCTATCTGAATGCAGCAAACCACAAAGAAAGAAAGATCTCTGGGTGCTGGTAGCAAAGAGTAGATCTAAAAGTGGCAGGTAGGAGTGGGAAGTATACCTAAAGTCCTTTCAAGCTCAATATCTAATGACCCTATAATCCTCAATGGTTTTCATAACCATTCTGATAAAGTAGCCTTCTGCTCCACAAATTTATCAGATTTAATTCCAAAGGTTAAATCCCATGAAAACAAATACAGTATCATAACCATAAAATCTATATAAGAAAAAAAGATTTCCAAGTTCCAGCCCTTGCCCCATTGCTTTGGAGCAATTTTTGATATGGTAAAATTCCAAGACAACAAAAGAACTTGGAAATATTTTTGGAGTTAGGGGAACTGGGATTTGGCCTTTCCCTTATCATCTCATTTATTCAACATCTCTATCATAAAGGAAACAATCTGTAGTCATGTGGCATAATGTTAAATAATCATTAGTAGACTTCTGGGTCAGGTGACCACCAAGATGGCAGATTAGTCACTTTCTCTAAACCTCTTTCACTCTCAAGGGGGGAGACTGGACTTTTGATTTCATTAATTTTAAGGAACTCCTGAGCAAGTAAATTCTTTGAATCAATTCTGGTAGCTTCTCCAAAACAATATTAAAGAAACAAATGGGGGAAAAAACACAAGTCTAACTCATAACTTTAAATATTAATAAACTAAACAATCCAATCAAATGCAAATAGCAGAATAGATAAGAAAGTAAAATCTCATAATCTCTTGCTACCCTCAAAAAAAAAACTTATCTAAAAAAACAAAGACACATACAGAATTAAACCAAGAAGCTTGAACACAACTTACTATACATATCGGACTAATAAAAAACAAAAAAAAAACCAGGAGTTGTAACCATTCTATCATAACAAAATTAATCAAAGTTCCAAGAGTATACTTTATTGAGCCAGACAAAATAATAACAAAATACATTTCAAGAAACAAAAGATATAGAATATTAAGAGAAATAATGAAAAAAGTAGGACTAAAGAGGGATTAGGGTTTCCAGACTGCCAACAATATTATAAGGCAGGAATAATCAAAACAATTTGGTTCAGATTTTTCAAAAAATAGAGAAGGAAATCAGTGGAACCACTAGACAAATAAGAATCAGAAATAAATGAACTAGTAATATAATGTTAGATAAATTCCAAACATAAATTACCTAGGAAAAAATCCATATTTGATAATAATTTCTGGGAAAACTGAAATGTAGTCTGGCAGAAATTAGGTTTAGTCCCACATCTTACACTATATGCCACAATAAACTCAAAATATACACCTGATCTGAATAATAAAGATTATCTCATATGCGAGTATTTGTGGGATCTTTGTTCCCCAGACCCATCCCATACTTTGCTCCCTCCCTGATTTTATTCATACTCTCCCTCCCAGGCAGCCAGGTGGCACAATGAACACTGGACCAGTAGTTAGGAAGACTTGAGTTCAAATCCAGTCTTAGATACTTACTAGTTGTGTGATCACAGGCAAGTCACTTAACTTCTGTCTGCCTCAGTTTCCTCAACTACAAAATAAATATAATAGCACCAACCTTCCAGAGCTGGGTTATTATGGGGATCAAATGAAGTAACATTTGTAAAATGCATAGCATAGAGCCTGGCACATAGGTGGTGCTTAATAAATACTTGTTTCCTTTCTTCCCCCATCTCTGCCTATTAAAATTCCATTCATCCTTCTAATCCCAACTCAAATGGTATCTCCTTCATGAAGCCTTCCCTTATGCATAAAAAGGTCCTAAGATTTAGAAGAACTCTCTCATTTCATAAATGAGGAAGCTGAGGCCCAGAGAGGTTAAATGATTTCTCTAAAGACACACAGGTAACAGAACCAAGATTCAAAACTAGGTCCTCGGACTCAAAACCAAGTCTTTCTATCACTGTGCCACCAATTGGTGCCCTCGCTGAAACCAATCTCTCCTTCATCTGATTTCATAGCATTTTTTACTTCTCATAAATTTATTCAAATACATGTCATTTCCCTACCAGATTATAAACTCCTAGAGGGGAAGGGACAGAGTCCTATTAATCTTTATATTTCTCATAGTTCTAAGCATACACCTATGCACATTGTGTTTTTTTGTTTGTTTGTTTTAAGGAGAGGAGTGTTGAGAATCCAAATGTGATTTACTCCCTTAACCCATAGGTTGTCAATTCCTCTGTAACGTTCATTCTTGGAGTTGACTAATTAAGAGGGTAAATCAGGGCAAGTCCTATCCCCTAGCCTACTGCCTCTCATTTTATAGATAAATATATGTATACTGTAGATGTTTAATAAAAGGTTGTTGACTAACTAGATGAATAAAATAAATTCAAATGTAGTTTATTGTTCCATCCTAGATAGAGCTGTTGCATGTGGAAGAATGGAGTGCTTTCAAAGAAGTTGACTAACTGATCCTTGGTGTCTCTTCTTCTAGGCTATTCATAAAGCTGTGTTGAAGATGAATGAAAAAGGAGCAGAAGCTGCTGGAGGAACTGGCATTGAGACCCTGCCAATGACTGTTCCCCAAATCATTAAATTCAACCGCCCTTTCGTAATAGTGATTATAGATGACAAAACCCAGACTGTTCTCTTCATGGGGAAAATAATGAACCCAAAATGAAATTCAAAAACAAGCATCTCTGAAGCTGCCAAAGGTTCCTTGCTGCTGTCTCTGAATAAACATTGTGACTTGAAATTATTGAACTGGTTTATCACTGGAAATGATCATAGCAATAACTCACATTTGTGGTTCTCCTTAACAACCCAGACTAACTACTTTCTATTGGTTGGTGGGTGATATAGTATGAATCAAAGCATGGTGCAGCAGAATGTATGTTGGATTCGAAGTCAGAGGGCCTGGGCTTATAAGATCAGAGATTTAGAGCTGGAAGGGACCTCAGAGACCATCTAGTTCAATACCCTCATTCTAAAGATGAGGAAACTGAGGCCCAGAGATGTTAAACAACTTACCTACCCAATGCCACACAAGTAGAAAGTAATTAAGCCAGGAATCAAACATAAGTCCTTTGACTCTTACTCCAGCATGCTTCCCATGGACTGTCCTGACTCTTCTGTACCTCAGTTTCCTCATCTGTAAAATAAGGAAGTTGGAATAGATGATTTGTAAGGTCCCTCTCAGAGGCACATCTCGCATTCCTAAGCTGCACAATGAATTTCCCAGGTGTGTTCCCAATTGTCAATAAACAGCCATACACACACAAAAACTCACCATGTCACTTTTAACTAATGTGGCCATTTCTGTGAGGAGGAACAATGGATAGCTGCCTCTTTGAATGGATTTCAGGAATATTCTCCTTCCACCAGCAGTTCAAAATCCAACATCAGAGCTTCATTCCTTTGTGTGAGGGAAAAAAATCTGTTCACTGACACAATACAAATTCCTGGTAGAGAAAACATACTAAACCTTGTTGGTTATCTGCATCTCAGTAAAAATGGCCTCTTCTGAAAACCAGTTTGGGTAAGAGAAAGGAGAATGAGCCAGTGGGGAGAAAGTAGGGATGGGGAGGAGGCTATGTAGAGATGGGGAAGAGTCATAGAAGAGACATGGGGAAAACTGAAAACAGACTTCTGGTTTGCCAAGCATTGGCCTTGCAGTTAGCTCCTAAAGTAGGTTTACAACAGCCAGCATCTCCCCAGGTACAACCCAAAATGTAATAATGGCACATCATTTCCACCAGAGGGTGCATTGTGGGCAGCCTGCAAACCCAAACAGCTTATCCCTCCAGCACTCCAAGTTTCTGGAATCACTTCCTCAAATTGACTTTGCAACCGTCTCTGCCTTAGCACTCTCATAGAACAGTCATTACATCTCCCCTAAGTAGCTAGGAAGAAATTGAGCCAGCCTCTCGAGATAGTTTTTTTTTTTTAAACTCTGCAAAGAGTAGTGTGCAATTGAGAAAGCCTTTCAAAGGCATCAGCATGGTAGGATTTAGAGCTAGAAGGAAACTTTGGGATCATTTAGCCCAACCCTCTCATTTTCAGATGAAGTTCTTAGAAGTGATCACACTGACAATGAGTATAAGTGCCAGAATGCAAAACCAGGCCTACCAACTCCTACCAACTAGTGTCCTTTCTGCTACATCATGCTCCCACTCACTCACTCATGGGGTTATATTAGTCATTTCCTCTCTCTTCTCTTTAATTTCTTCTTCACTAAAATAAAGAGACTGGAGTAGTTCTCTTAGGTCTCTTCTTTCAGTGTTACTATTCTGGTACAAAGTATTTCTCAGCTCTAATCTTTTATGTTTTATGGTCATTTCCATTTTTATATTCTACATCTGTGAATTTTCATTTATGAAAATTAATCAATCAATAAACATTTACCTAGTACATATCAGGCATTGTGAGGTAGAGAGCCAATCTCAGAGCCAGGAAGTTCTCAATTCAAGTTATGTGACTCTGAGCAAGGCAATTTTTCATTTAATTTTATTTTTTTCTCCCACCTCTTAACCCTCCATGGAAATTTCAGAGAGACAGAGAGACAGAGAAACAAAACTTTTTGTATCAAATAAGCATAGTTAAGCAAAACAAGTTATTATATGGGCCACAGCCAAAAAAAATCTATGTTTCATTCTGTACCCTGAGTCCATTCAAACCTCTCTTTCAGAAGGAGGTTAGACGGGGCAGTTAGGTGGCACAGTGGATAGAGCACCAGCCCTGAAGTCAGGAGTACCTGAGTTCAAATCTGGCCCCAGACCAAACACTTGACACTTACTAGCTGTATGATCCTGGGCAAGTCACTTAACCCTAATTGCCTAAAAAGCAAACAAACAAACAAACAGAAGGAGGGTAGAAAACTTGATTATCTGTCCTCTGGAATGATGGTTGGTCATCAGGCTGATCAGAATTCTTAAATCTTTCAACATTGTTTGTCCACAATGTTGTTATTGCATTAAAAATAATTATCCTGGTTCTCCTCTCTACATTGTGTATGAGTCCACACAAGTTTTCCCAAGTTTCTCTGAAACCATCTCTTCATTTCTTGCTGGAGAATAGTATTCCATTACATTAATATAACATAATTTATCTAGTCATTTCTCAATTAATGGGCACTTTTTAGTTTCCAATTCTTTGCTACTATAAAAAGATCTGCTGTAATATTTTTGTGCACATCGAACCTTTTTGTCTTTCTTTGATCTCTTTTGGGTATTGCCTGGTAGTGAAGTTACTGCATTGGAGGGTATGCACAATATAGTAACATTTGGGAGGATAGTTCCAAATTTGGGCAAGTTGCTTAGTGCCTCAGGCAACTCTCTAGTATAAAACACAGAAGGGATATAGCACTGCATTGGTAGAAGAAGTTTCCTCAAAGGGAACTCCCAATACCAATTAAATCATGAGTCTGAACCAGAAAGAAAAATGTGCCAGGCACTATGCAAGAAGTTGGGAGTACAAATACAAAGATTGGACATTTACTACCCTCAGGGTAGTATATTCATTGGATTGGAGGTAGGGATGGCCAGATAAAATGTGTTGGTAAATAGGTAAGTAAAGCAAAAGTACAAAATAAACACACCTCTTTTCCTCCTCTGATGTATTCCAAAAAAATGACAGAGAAACTAGCAGAAGAGAGTGGATTAGAACAGGGCCAGTTTTACTCACAGGCAAAATAGATGGTTTTCTGTAATGTGACATAATTTGAGGGACAGAGGACTTCAAGTACAATTGCCTGTAATTTCACCACAACAATGTCATTCCTTTGGGCAAAGCATTGGCTCCTATTAAAATATAGAGTATTTGGAAAGGATCACATGAGTTGTCTTCAGTCATTAATACCTTAGATGGGGAATGAGTTTAGCAGAGCTTCTCCAAAATTAATAATAGCTAATATTTATATAGTGCTTATTATATGTCAGACACTGTGCCAAACTCTTTTCAATAATTATCTCATTCTATCCTCACAACAACCTTGGGAGGTAGGTGCCATTATTATCACCATTTTACAGATAAGGAAACTGAGGCAAACAGAAGACAAATGACTTGCCAACAGGTCACACTGCTAGTTAGTGTGTGAGGTCAGATTTGAACTCAGGTCTTCTTGACTCCAGGTTCAGTGTGCTATCAACTGTACCACCCAGCTGCCCACATAAAAGTGAAATTTGAAAATAAGGTAGAGTAGTAAGAAGATCTATGGTACAGGGTACTATCAAAGGAGGACATACCTGTGTGGAAATGGGAGGGTGCTGAAAAAAGAGTTCCCTTCTTCCAAAACCACCTTAAGCTTGCCATAGTGGTACATGCATGTGGTCCCTGTTACTGGGGAGGTTGAGGGTGGTAGATCATTTGAACTTGGGAGTTCTGAGCTGCAGTGATCTAAAGCTGATCAGTTGTTGGCACTAAGTTCTAGTACCAATATGATGAGTCCATTGGGAATGGGGGACCACCAAACTGCCTGAGGAAGGGTCAACCAACCCAGGTTGAAAACCAAGCAGGTCAGAGGCAGAACCAAGATGGCAGAGAAAAGTCAGGAAGTTTCCTGAGCTCTCCCCAGTTTCCCTCAGAAACAACATTAAATCAAACCTCTAAATGGATTATGGAGCAACAGAACCTACAAAAAGATGGAGTGAAACAGTTTTCCAGCTTAAGATAACTTGGAAGGACTTCAGGAAAGGTCTGTCTCACTTGGGTAAAAGGGGAGCACAGCCCAGCACAGATGGTATCTGGGCAAGCTAGCAGGAGGCTCTTAGTCACAGCACAGATAAACAACTGAGGGCCCTCAGGCCTGGATCAGCAGGCCAGTAGCATAGCAGGCCAGCTGTGAGGCCTCCAGCCCCAGTTCAAAAGGCAAATTGCCAGTCCTGGAACCCCTGGCACAACAGGCATGACTAGTCTAGGCCAGAAAGCCAGTGGCCAGGCCGTGGCCCTCAGCACAAATAACTTGGGACAGTGTCCCCTGTGCCACAGGAGCAGAGTTCAACTTTAAAAGTCATGAAATAAGTTTAAAAATGAGCAAAAACAAAACAAAACAGAAAAGAACCCTGACCATAGAAAGCCACTATTGTGACAGGGAAGATCAAAACACAAACTCAGAAGAGAACAATAATATCAAAATTCCTACATGCAAAGCTTCAAAGGGGAATATGAATTGGTCTCAAGCCCAAAAAACTGTCTTGGAAGAGCTCAAGAAAGATTTTAAAAATCAATTAAAAGGTAGAAGAAAAATTAGGAAAAGAAATGAGAATTATGCAAGAGAGAGCAAATAGCTTGGAAAAGAAAGGACAAAAATTGACTGAAGAAAACAGTTCCTTAAAAAATATATTTGGCCAAATGGGGGGAAAATCCACTGAAGAAAACAGTTCCTTAAAAAGTAGAATTAGCCAAATGGGAAAGGAGGTACAAAAGCTAACTGAAGAAAATAATTCCTTAAAAATTAGAATTTTGGGGGCGGCTTGGTGGTGCAGTGGATAGAGCACCTGCCCTGAAGTCAGGAGGACCTGAGTTCAAATTTGGCCTCAGACCAAACACTTGACACTTACTAGCTGTGTGACCCTGGGCAAGTCACTTAACCCCAATTGTCTTACCAAAAAAAAAAAAAAAAATCAGAATTTTGCAAGTGGAAGCTAATGACTTTATGAGACTCTATGAGACAAGAATCAGTCAAACAAAATTTTTTTAAAAATGAAAAAATAGAAGAAAATGTAAAATACCTCATTGTAGAAACAACTGACCTGGAAAATA